GGTTGGCCTTCCTGACCGCGTCCCCACACTGTCGGCCCATGTTCATTGTGGCATCAATAACAACTCCAAAATCCTTTTCTGCCTCTGCACTGACGAGAAGGGAGTTCCCCAGCCTGTAGGTCTGCTGCTGGCTCTTCCCCCCCAGGTGCAGCACCTTGCACTTGTCAGTGTTGAAACCCATCCTGTTCTCATCCGCCCACCCCTGTAACCTGTCCAGGTCCGATTGCAGACTATTCCTCCCTTCTAGCGTGCCCATTTCCACCCAAATCTTAGTGTTGTCTGCGAATTTGAACAAGGTGCTTTTCACCCCCTCGCCCAAGTCGCTGATGAAGATGTTGAACAGTGCAGACCCAAGGACCAAGCCCTGGGGGACCCCACTGCCCACAGCCCTCCAGGTCGAATAGGACCCGTCCACCACCACTCTCTGGGTGCGGCCCTCCAGACAGTTAGTGATCCATCTGACTGTGTAGGTGTCGACACCACAGTCCCCTAGTTTTTTAATGAGAATGGGGTGAGAGACAGTGTCAAAGGCCTTCCTAAAGACTACATCCACCGCAACACCTGCATCCAAGGCTTTTGTGACCGGGTCGTAGAAGGCCACCAGGTTGGTCTGACAGGACCTGCCCTCAATGAGCCCATGTTGGCTGCCCCTAAGCATCATCCCCGCTGCTCACCCCTCACAGATGCGCTCCTGGATAATCTTCTCAAAGAGCTTCCCCAGGACCGAGGTAAGACTAACGGGCCTGTAGTTTCCTGGGTCCTCCTTCCTCCCTTTTTTTGAAAATGGGAACCACATTGGCCCCTTGCCTTTTTAATGGTCTTTACTGGTTCCCCCCTCGAGCTGTGCTTCGTGCTGCGATTCCCCGCGGCTCTGCCGCAGCCCTGCAGACTGCTCCGCGCCCTGGCCGCAGGCAAGAGCGCCGGGGCAGGAACGCGAGCTCAGGCAGGGAAATCACTGTCCATGCAGCACTGGGTGCCCTGTCAAGACACTCAAGAAAGCTAGGCTTTGCCCTACAAACCTGAAGAAGAGATGGGCATCCAACTCTAACGATGACAGGACCAGTGACACGACGCCACTGGTTATTTTTGCCTTGGGTGCTGTGTTTCATACATCCTATATGATATAGCGAGGAATGCACATTGCAATACAGCTCCTTCTGTTTTCACTTGAGTTTTAAACTGAACAATCCCTGGATTATTAGTAAAGTTTGTAGTTTCTTTTTAACTGAAGGAATGACGCGTGGTGTGGTGTGGTGTGGTGTGGTGTGGTGTGGCGTGCGTGATGATGCACTGTGGCACCTGCAACCCCCTTTTCAATATCCTAGGTTCGCCCGCGGGCAGGGGCACAGGCATCTCCCGGCCCCGTGGTCGTCCCGTCAGGCCTCTGCAAGCACAGAGCGGCGCCTCCCCGGGGAGCAGACATCGGGTCTGGAGGAGCTGGTCTTGGAGACGCAGCGCACCGCGACCCAGCGGCCCCAGGAGAGGGGGATCCCGCACCTCCCTCGGGCTGACTCCCATCGTGGTTCAAGACCTGTGGCTTGCTTCTAGTCTGGACTGGTCTGGCTGCAATCACCAGGCACATCCTCTTCCCACTTGGTTGAAAACCCTCTTTTCTCGGCAATCTCCTCCAGGCCCATCGTTAACAACCCACCCTCTCTTGCCTACCCCCGCCAGCCTGCCCTCGGCGGTCCCTTCCAGCCCTGCCTCTCTGACTGCCGTCGCCTTCGGTTTCTCCGAGAAGTCAGACCCTAACCTGAAGCTCCTTTATGAACTGATCCCCATCATCAGCGTGCTTTCTGAAGTGGGGGCAGCAGACCTGGAGCCGCTTTCCCGGTAAGGGTCTCGCTGAGGGCACGGACAGTCGGCACCAGCGTACGCAGCGTAACGCGCATGCAAAGCCCTGAATGGGGGGAGCTGCATCGCAGGCCAAAACGGCTCCTGACGGGATCGGGGCCGTATTGTGGCTGCAAGTTGCATCCGTTTAGGTGCCGTCTGTCTGCGCCTCGGCCAGGACGCCAGCGGAGAGGCGCAGAAATAGTCATCGACGGCAGGGGCTGGCAACCTGCGGCAGCACGCAGGCCAGATCCAGCTGAGGAGCCACTGGATCCAGCCCAGGCCCGGGGTCTTTGGCAGCACGGGCAGCATGGGACTGGCCCTGCCGCAGCCAGGCGCCGGGGCGCTGAGCACGTGCCGTGGCTGGGGGCCGTGCTGGTGAGCTAGGTCACAGAGCCGTGGAGCTAGCGGGAGCCACGGAGCTGGGGGTAGGATCACCCCCTCCAAACCAACCAAACAACCCTGTGTCCGACCCCTAAGCAACACTATATTCACCCCCGACACAGCCCCAGGCATCACCCCCACCCCTGCCCCCGGGGTACAGGGGGGACGCAGCCACCAATGTCCTGCTGCTGCCGGGGGGGTCCTGGGTGCTGCAGCGAGCCCAGGCCCAGGCCGTGCCCCCCTGCAGAGGAAGGAGAAACCCCCCAGTCCAGACCAGTCTGAGCAGGGGGAAATCCCTTCCTGCCTCAGAGCAGCGTTGGGCTGAGCCCGAGTGCGGGGGCAAGACCCCCCAGCCAGGACCCTGCGGGGTCGGTGCAGCAGGAGCATGGGCACAGCCCAGCCCCATCCCCATCCCCATCCCCAGCCGGGGCTGCAGCAGCACCAGCGCCGCTGGGGGAGGAATAAAAAAATAAACCCTACTATATGGAGCAGAAAGGGGGTGGGGAATCACTCCCTCACAGCCCCGAAGCCTGGGACACCCCACAGCAGAGCACGGGCATCGCTGTGCCTGGATCATCCCCCCGCAGCGCCCGTCCAGCCCGTCCTTGCACCCTCCAGGGATGGAGAATTTCCCCCCCGCCGCCATCCCAGGCGTCTCTCCCACGGCCTCCCCGCTCTGTCAGGGAAGACCTGTTTCCTGATCTCCATCCTAAACCTGCTTGGCTGCAGCTTTGTGGCATTGGTCTGCAACCTGCTCCACACCAAGAGTAAGCACTGCGACCACTGCCCTCATGCACGCCGGTGTCCTGGGCTGCCCGCCTGCCCTTGGCCTCAGCACAGCTCCCATCGGCCGGAGCAAACCAGCCGGTCCCTGCTCCTGCTCCCGCTCCCGCTCCACGTTTGTCTGTGCACGTGCTGGAGACGCTCTCTGCTCCGCACCGCGCCGCGTGGCGCAGGGACGTTGTGTTCTGCGGTGTCTGCCAAGCCCCAACTCCCTTCCGGAGCGACCGCTTGCAAACACATTCGCCTGCCCTCGGTGCCCGACTCCAAGCAGCAGGGAGAGAAGCAATAGCAGAGGGACACTGAGGCCGTGGGGTCACACCATGCACTGGTGACGGGGGCAGAAGAAATCCCCGGTTCTTCTGGCGGGAAGAGGCCAGGGTCAGACCGCACAGACCCCACTTCTACCTCCCAGACCAGAGCAGACCTAGCCCCACCACTGAGGATGCTCATTACCCCAAAGGGCCTGGAGCAAGGTGCTGGACACTGCCTGGGCTGCTGTGGCTGTGGAGCCGTGCAGCCAGGACAGTCGGGACGCAGCCTTGTATTGCAAAGTGCTGCGTCTGCGGTGAGCCCGTCTCCGGCGCCCGCAGAACGTCCTGTGCATTCAAACAAGCTGCAAGCTGCTCCTTGGCTGCCGGCACTGGTTGACTCAGCAGCTGCTTGTCCCTGCGTCCCTGGGACATCTCCCGGCCTTCTCACGCCCGCTCTCAAGGACGTGCCGGAGGACAGCCCAGCGGCACGCGCTTGGCTCCTGTCTCCCCTGGCTCTGAGCGGGACACCCCAGAGGCTCCTGCCCCTAGGTCATGTATTGTCCCCCCAGTCCCATCTCCCACAAGATCCCCCCCATGCTGGCTCAGGGTGGGGGATAAAGGCAGGAAGGGAGACAAAGCAGGGACATGTGCTCCCATGCAGAGGAGGGGGAGGCTCGGTGCAGGGGCTGCAGCACTGAGGAGCCCCTCAAAGAGGAAGGTTCAGACCCCAGCTTTGCTCCAAATTTCGTGCCACCATGAGCTGGCCGTGCCGGCATTCGAGCACGGTGCACAGGAGCACTGCAACGCCTGGCTGCTGGAGCGGAGTCCACGCTCTGTGGCAGAAGAGTGGGGCGTCTCGGGCCAAGACCCACAACAGCCAGCTGCCCCGAGGGAACTGCAAAAGACAAGGGAGCCGCCACCCCTGCTCTTGTGAGGCCTGGGTGCAAAGGCACCCATGGCAGGTCAGGGTCTCGCTGAGATGGAGGCAGCGGACCTGCTCCTTGGAGGAGAGGAGAGGAGAGGAGGCGTCACGGACTGCTGAGAACGTCTCCCAGCCCCTCCCGGACCGTGCTTAACTCGCTGCGCCTGGTTTCCTCTGTCCAGAGGCCGAGGAAGACAGCCGTGCACTCGAGAGCTCCTCTCACTGCATCCCAGCTGCAGAGCTGGTCCAAGAAACCCTTGTGCCTGGTGTAATTCCTGGACCATCACAGCTACAACAGCCTTATCCTAAGGATTTCTTTCAGAAGAAGAATCTCTTAACTTGCACAGCCCGTCTAACTATCCCAGCCGTGCAACTGGTCCAGCAAAAGACCTCATGCAGACATCTTGGCCTCTTGCAAAACTCCCAGACCGCCGTGGCTACAACTTAGTCTGACGCTTTCCCCCGACCTTTAGGAGACGGCCGGGGGTTGTCCGAGCTAGCGCACAGCGTCTCCAGCACGCGCATGGGCCGGGCAGCCTGAGGGGTTCAACCCGCATCGCCTACCGACCCACCCCTCTGGAGCGGGGTGCTTTCCGCCCCGCGACACCGAAGCAGCCCGTGCAGCAGGGCCGGGTCCCCCTAGGTCAGGGCTGCAGTCGCTGGCTCCAGAGCCAGGCTCCCCCCAGGAAAGCCCACGAATCCAAGCAACTCGGCTCTTACAGCCCTGGTCTGAGGATCCTGATGGGGATTAAACAGCGGAGAAGGGGCAGGCCAGTCTGCTCTGCCGGCAGCGGTGCTGGGAACGCCACGCACGGGACTGCAGGAGCCCTGGGGCTTCCTGACAGGTGCTGGGTGCCCAGATCTTGTCGGGGCCCAGAAAACAGGGCTTTAACGCCGGTGCACATCCTCCCACCCCTGGTCCCACCCCTGCAGCGGGGGCACGGCCGCTCCCTGGGGTCTCTCTGCTAACCCCCTTTGCAGCAGCGGGGCGTTGGCAGCCACGGCCCCCCTGCTTTCCGGGGGCAGGGGTGGGGGCAACGCCTGGGGCTGTGCTGTGTTGGCGTAGGGCTCATCTGGGATGGTTTGGACAGAGCTGCCCCTGCCTCAAGCAGGGCTGGGACTGGATGTGACCCCCACTTCTCCCCTATGATTTCTTCCAGGGAGGAGTCCGTGCAGGGCTGAGCTGCCCAGCTGGACCCGTGGTGCTCCTCTGCTACTCACCATAGGACTGGAAGATCTTGCTGTTGACTATGTCTGTCAAGGACTGGAGCTTCTGCTTGAGCAGGCGCTGGGGTGGCAGGTTCCCGATGAAATCCCGAAGCAAGCCCCTGCAGCCCAGACACAAGTGGACAGAGCACGAGTTACGTGGGAACATGTAGAAAAGGGGCAAGGGCTGGAGCTGCCCAGCGCCCGGGACCTGCAAGGCACAAAGGTTTCTCTCTCCTGGCTGGGCTGCGCTCCACCCCGCTCGCTCAACAGCTTCCCTGCTCCCAGCCAGGGCCTCTGCCCACCGCGCATGGCTGGTTGGAGAGAGTCTTCGGCGTGTGACCGGCCACATCCGACTGGACCTCTGCCTGCCGGTGAAGTCGGCAGTGTTTGGAAAGAAGCTGTCCAAGAGCTGCCGCTCTGCACCGCACAGCTGGCAGGTGGGGTGTCTCGGGGCTGCGCATGCAACGTAGGCTGCCCTTGCCCTCCACGAGGTATGTTTGCAAGTGAAATTCTCTGACGAATGTTCTTGTAACAGGGCAGTCAGGCCCTTGAAGCCCTGGCGTGGGAGCCCAGCTGTGGGGATTAGCTGGCCGTTAAAGAAAGAGCGCGTCGTGGAGCTGGGGAAGGAGCAGTGGCCTGACCCCAGAGGAGCTCACGTCTAGCAGCTGGAGAGAGGCTGAAAGGTTTGACTTGGGCTCATTTTTTGGTTGCTTGGGCCGGGGGCTCTTGCTTGGACTGGCGGAGGGACTGCCGAGGGGACCAAGCCCGTCGGCGTGGGCGCAGGCACACCCTCCCGCGCAGCCCAGTCCAGCGTCTGCGGTGTATCCCTTTCTGGACTGGACACCTCTGGGGCGGCCACCTCCCAGACTGGCCTCTGCCTCCGGGCACAAAGGCACCTGTCCCCGTGCTCCGACGCGCTGTAATTACGGTGCATCAGAGCAGACTCGATGAATCGATTCTGCTGCAGCGCGGTCATTACTGCGCTGCAGCAGAGTCCAATGTCACATGTGTCAGCATCCCCGCGCCGAAAAATGGTGGTGTGGCCGCTTTGACAAACACGCATTCGATGAGCTTTAATTAAAGTGCCCCCACCATCGTTTTTCAGTGTGGAGACGCTGATACATGTGACGCTCCGGGTGCTTTAATTAGACCAGCTCTCCGAGCCGCTCCCTCTGTCCCCGACACACACACTCCTGGAGCTTGTCTATAAATGCCCGAAGTCCGGAGAGCTCCAGCAAACCCCTCCAGCTGTTTATTTCATGGTGGGAGAACAACAGGACCCTTTTCACCAGCTGCATTGCTCTGAACCAAGGACGGACACCTCGGCCCGGTCCGGTCCAGGAGAGTCGTGCAGGTGGAAACTGCTTGCCCCGTGGGGCTGTTCCTGCAGGGTTGCCCTGCGCGGCTGCAGCAGGCCCGGTTCCTCTGCACTTGTTCCCTTTTTCTCTGGCCAGAGCCCTTCTAGTTCCTCTCCGAGCTGCTCTGCAGCTGCTGCAGCCAAGCGAGCTGGAGCTGCTGGGGCAGTTGCTTCACACCCTGCACAAAGGCTTTGTTCAGCTCGGTTTCTTCACTCCGCTGCGGTCTCTTAAAAGGGCAAGTTTTAAAGAGGCAACACCAAGCCCGCGCGCCCGTCCTCGACAGACACAGGCAACTGCATGGACACGAAGCCAGATTCAGAGGTGTGGAAGGGACCGCGAGGGCCCCTGGATGCACCTCCGCAGTCGCTGCTGCCGGCGCGTCTCCGTCCTCCCAAGGAAGGAGGTCCCAGGAGCCTGCTCCGCTGCCTTACTATCCTAACGGGAGGGGACATTTTCCTGAAGTGTTTCCTGACCCTGCGCTGCTGCTCGCTCACCCCTTGCTCTGCGTCCCTCTCCCTGGAGGCAGCCTTTCAGCTGCTTGCAAGTGGCTCTCCTGTCCTGCTGTGCCCTCCTCTTCTCCCGCTCAGCACGCAGAGTTCACTCAACCTCTCCCCGTGCGGCTGCGGCAAGCCTGGTACCATTGCGGCCGCCTGCCTCCGGGCCCTTCTGCACGTTCCTAAAATGTGGGTCCGGACACCACACAACCCCTGGGCCAGGGCTGGCCAGCTGTGAAGGCAGGCGCCGTCCCCTCCCATATCTGACACTCAAGACGCCCGTCTCCTGTGGCGAGGCCCCACGCTGCATTCACTTTCGGTGGGGTTTGGTACGGCAGCACATCCAGCCGCTGCGTCTGTGGTTAGTGTTAACACTGCAGCTGCACGTCTACCGGCTTGGGTTATCGTCACGCCCAGATCATGCACAGCTCCCACCCGCTCCGGAGCCTCCCTGGAGGACCCCGACATGGCGTGTGGCTTTGTGGAGAGGCTAGCGGCCCAGCGCTGACGTCCAGCTCTGCTGTGAGCGGTGACCATGCAGCAACGGCACGGTCTGGTCTGACCCGCTTCCCGTCCACGCGTTCAGAGCCCAGCTTGCTTCGACCGTAGCATCTGCTCCTCCTACCAGCCCTGCCGAGGACCCAGCCAGACGGAGAGAGCCGGGGAAGCTTGCAGGTCTCTTCTGAGCCTCTCCTGAGCCACGGACGGTCCCTCCTGAGCTGCTGTCTCAGCCGCACGGATGCAGTCACTTCCACAGCTCGTGCACAGTGCATTGCACACCCAGAAGGGGCCTCCCCCTTCCCACCCCCCAGGCAGGGCAAGCGCCCCTGGCCCCGGCGGCCAGAGCTCCAGCGCCAGCGTGTCCTTCCTCTGGGCTCAGAGCCAGGCGTGTGGGCAGGTGGCACCAGGCCGTGCTGCCCTGTTCCTGCCATCGCCTTTAGACCCCGCGTGCCAATGCAGCACGTCGCCCGCTCAGGCTGTGGGGCGCTGGGGCAGCTGACACCCCAGAAGCTGCTGGCTGACACGCAGGCCACCCTCTGCGTGACGCGAGACCCAGCCCAGCGTGGCTCCGTGACGGGAGGAGAAAAGTGTCCCTTACCCCAGCACGGAGCTGTCGAAGATCCCGAACACGTCCTCCAGGATGGAAGGCAAGTACTTCAGAGCAGCCTCCTGCAAGCAAACACATGCACAGGTCAACTAGGGGCAGAGGGAGCTGGGCTTCGTTAAGCATTTCAGAAGGACACAATTCAAGTGGTTTTACTGCTCAGGGTGCATAAAAGTCATGCTCGGGCATCCTTGAAACCCCCTTAAGCACCACGGATTTCATTCTGCGCCCTAACGTGGCAAACAGACAGACCGGTGGGCCCACGAATCTGTAGCTCATGGCGGCTTCCCGCTGACCAGTGCATGAGGCAGCTCGCACCGTGGGAGGGGAGGGTTCGTCAGCTCTCCCTCCCCACGGGGCCGGACGTCTGCTGAGACACCTGCTCTGACCGTGGCATCAGCACCCGTCGGCCCAGCTCGGCTGCCAGAGGGCCCGGGCAGGAGCCGCGGCACCAGGTTCCCACTTTGGGGCCGTGCAGGAATCCCCAACACCAGCCCTGGAGACCAGGCAGAGGCAGAAAAGGATCTTGGGGTCATTGCTGATGCCAAAATGAACCTGAGCCAACAGTGTGGGGACGCGGTCAGGAAGGCCAACCGCACCTTGTCATGCATCCACAGATGCATCTCGAGCAGGTCCAAGGAGGTGATCCTCCCCCTCTATGCGACACTGGTCAGGCCACAGCTGGAGTACCGCGACCAGTTCTGGGCGCCGCACTTCAGGAGGGATGAGGCCAGCATGGAGAGGGTCCAGAGGAGGGCCACTCGCATGATCCGGGGGCAGCAGGGCAGGCCCTACGAGGAGAGACTGAAGGACCTGAACCTGTTCAGCCTTCACAAGAGAAGGCTGAGAGGGGACCTGGTGGCCGTTTACCAACTGGTCAGAGGGGACCAGCAGGCATTGGGGGAGTCCCTGTCCCCCCGAGCACTACCGGGAGTGACAAGGAATAACGGCCATAAGCTGACTGAGAGTAGGTTCAGGCTAGATATCAGGAGGCGCTACTTCACTGTCAGGGCGGCTAGGATCTGGAACCAACTTCCAAGGGAAGTGGTGCTTGCTTCTACCCTGGGGGTCTTCAAAAGGAGGCTGGATAATCACTTAGCCGGGGTCATTTGACCCCGGCATCCTTTTCTGCCATGGCAGGGGGTCGAACTAGATGATCTGCTCAGGTCCCTTCCGACCCGACCAACTATGAAACTATGACGCTATCAGCCCCGTCCAAACCAGCCCAGACAAGCCATCATCTAAACTCTTCATAAAACTATCATCACCCCTGACACAGCCCCAGGCATTGCCCCCACCCCTGCCCCAGGGATACAGGGGGGCCGCAGCCGCCACCATCCTGCTGCTGCCGGGGGGTCATGGATGCTGCAGACCCCCAGCCCTAGGCCGTGCCCCCCTGCAGAGGAAGGGGAAACCCCCCCCAGTGTGGACCAGCCTGAGCAGGGGGGAAATCCCTTCCTGCCCCAGGGCAGTGTGGGGCTGAGCCTGAGCGCGGGGGCAAGACCCCCCCCAGCCAGGACCCTGCGGGGTCGGTGCAGCAGGAGCGTTGGCGCAGCCCAGCCCCAGCCCCAGCCCCAGCCGGGGCTGCAGCAGCACCAGCGCCTCGGGGGGAGTCTTCGAACTCCCTGACACGAGGCAGAAAGGGGAGAAGGGGGAACCAGCACAGCCCAGATGTCTGGGACATCCCCCCAGCGGAGCACGAGCATCGCTGCGCCTGTGCTAAACGACACTAATACGCCGTAGACTAATTCTACTGCACATTAGCGCAATAGCACATTTTTTGCCGGGATGCACTAATGCACGGTAGGATTAGTCTACTGTGCTTTCAGCGCCTTGTGTAGAGGCGCCCAGGAAATACTTATCAGTCCACAGATTTTAAGGCCACAATGATCAACGCTGCCGTCTCGCCTTGTCGAGACCGCAGCATTTCCCCAGTGACTCTTGCGTCGAGACTGCAGTTCCTGGCTGAGCCACAGTCATCTTTTAGGCTCATCTCGGAGCTTGATTTAAAAGCTTCACTTGACGGGGAGTCCAGCATGTTTCCAGGCCAGTCACTCCACTGGTTAACACCTGCACCATTTTATTTGCAGTCACTGGACCCAACACAAGCTGCCAGCCCCCAGATCTGACCCAGCCCTTGTCGGCGGTCTTAGACAGTTTTCTGCTATCAGCAATTGTCTCTCTCCGTAGAAGCTTGTTCACCTCTTCGCCTTCACCTGGGCGACCTCAACAGATTGAGCAGTTTCATTTCCCCTCCGTAAACCGTATTCCCAGACTTCCATCATTTTTGTAGCTCTTTTCATGTCTAACATTTCCACCTCTTTTTAACTCTGGACACCAGAACTGGCCGTGTGAGCCAGGCTGGGTCGCACTAATGTCACAGACAGGAGTATTGCCACTTTCCTACGCCGTTTCTAAGCATCGTTTCTCTGCTTGCGCGGCCAAGGAGCAGGTCAGCTCCCCTGGCAACAGCAGGGCCCTGAGAGCTCATTTTCGGCTGGTTATCCATGGTGACCTCAGTCCTTTTCTGAGTCACTGGTTTCCAAAATACAGCTCCTGACGCTGCAGCTGTGACTTATGTTCTTTGTTCCTACACGGATGCCTTTAACTGTATTACAACAGGCATCGTTCAAGCGAGCCCAGCTCACGGGTCTGGATCATGTTGTTCAGCTGGCATTTTCCACTGTTACTTAGCATCCCGGCATTTGCGTCGCCTGCAAACTTTATCAGGAGACGACTGCTGCAGCGCCGAACAGCGCTGGCCTGTGACCGGGTCCCTAAGGGACCCCAGCAGAAAACCCCCCACGGGTTTATAATTCCCCATTTGTGACTACATTTTGAGATTTATGTTACTCAGATTTTAGTCCTTTTAATATGAGTGTCGCTGGCTGTGTAAAGTGCTAATTTTTAAATAAGAATATTATGTTTTGAGAGGTGCCTTATATCAACATCACTCCCCCTTCTACCAGACTTGTAACTTAATAAAAATGATTTAACCGTTATTAGATAAACCCCACGTTCAATAAAACTCTGCTGATTCGCATTCATTATGCTGCTGTCATTTAATTCTTTATTGATTTCATCCGGCGGCATTTTTTGCAATGATTTTGTCAAGTTCAGTCTCAGACTAAATGGCCCAAGTGATGTGGGTCACCCCACGCGCTCTCAGAAACGGCTACATCCTCAGACGTTTCCAGTCCTTGGGGCTTCCAGGGTATTGCACAATCTGTTAAAAATCAACACAAATGCCCCCAGAAGCTCCTCTGCCAACTCTTGTAAACTCCTGGCTGCAAGTTATGTCAACCCGAGGACTCAAAAGTTGATTTTTTGTCCTTGTTAACACCCTCCCTAGTCACTGCCAAATTAAAGAGCGCTTCATTGTCGTTGCCCTGACTGCCCCGAGCACGCAACGGGAATATTTACCGGGATTCGACATTTCTGTCTTACCTGCATCATTGCTGACACAACCCCCGGGATTGCGGCTGCACAATCGTTGGGGTTTCCTCGCGCTCCTGCTGCCCGTTAGCATATCCTTCCTACCGTCTGTCCGTAATCCTACTGACCCTGCACTTACCACCGGTCACTCTAGCTTCCCATATCTCTTGCCTGCATTTCAGAGCTGCCAATTTGGACTTATGGTAACAACTTTCCCCCTTGTCCTTTGGTTTACATAGATTTTTGCTGCTTTTGTTTCAGTTCTTAACCAGGATGGGGGGGGTTGAGCCATTTGTGAAAAATGTGGGGATTTCTGTAACATGCACACGCTGCATGCACCCTTTGGTGGCGAGAAAGCCACTCCTCAACGAGGAGAGAGAAGAAAGAGGGAGGTGTTGGTGGCAGACGGGTGCTTGCCAGGTCTCTTCAGTACAAGGAAAGTCTGGAGCTGCATTCGAATTTGCATGGAGCCACTTAAGGGATGAGGTGAAGCAGGGCTGCGTACGGGGAGAGCCCAGCCTTCGAGCGCGAGGGCAAAGGGGCAAACACGGGTTTACCTGCAAAGCCTGGGCACAGGAGCTCGACAGCCCAGAAAACAGCTCGACAGCACCTGCCCCATTGCACCTAAACCCCAGCAAGCGCCAGGGAGCACAAGTGCCCGGCATCCGGGCAGTCAGCACCCGGGGGCGGCTGTGGGCTCTGGATACCCCATGGGTTTCCAGTCCGCTACGGCTTATTTGCTTGGCTCTGGAGATACCTATCCACAGTCCCCACGACGGCAGTGTGAGCCAGGCAGAGCTCCTCTGCCTCCTTGGGCTTTGCTTTGCCCCTCCAGGGCAGCCGCGTCCGATTTGAACTCCACACCGGCTAGCGTGCGCCGGGCTGCGGAAGAAGATGGCTGGGCTCGGATGTCCTCCCACGGCATGGGAAGCAGTGCTCCAAGGACGGAGGAGCGCCCGGGCCCCGCATGCTCACAGACACCTTCCACAGGGAGCAAGGGAAAACGAACTGCGGGAGTCGGACTTGGACAGAGGGAAGCAATTGGCTTCCTCGAGAAGCTCCTCCAAGAGTCCAGCACATGCAGGGCGAGTAATAGCGATCGCTCGTTGTCTGAAAAGGACCCGAGTACAGGCCTCTCTTGGATATCGAGAGCTGGGAGGGCTCCTTGAAGAGGAAGACACGGGGCAGGCTCAGGGAGCAGCACCGATCAAGCTGACACAGATATGAACGGAGACGTTCTGGGCTGTTGTAATATCCCCTACGACATCCTGGATCAGACACAAGGGGAAAGGCTGCATAAAAGGCACATCTAACCGTGAGATTAATGCGCATAAATAAACTCCAGAGCTTATTGCTCCCAAGCGCACCCTTTGAACGTGCTCCCAGGAGCAAAATACTCTGGAGCATATTGCTCTGGAGCTTATTCATGTGCAGCATGTGGAGCTGTTGCAGCAGCCCCGGCTGGCAGGGGACGGGGGTCAACCTGCCAGCCCAGGGCTGCTCCGGCTGGGCCCCACGTGCTGCAGAGCGGCTGGTGGGGGCACGAGGCTGCTTCAGAGCACCACACTGAAGACCCCGTGCCCCAGGGAGCCCCACATGCTGCACATGAAGAAACTCAGAGCAGGGTAGG